GCCTCTCCCCGCTCCTCAGCTGGTCTGGGCTGCCGTCCAGGTGTTGGTCGTTTCCCTTCTCAGGCTCAACTGTTTTCTAGAAACACAGCTGGACAGAAAACCACTAGCGGTCCCCCCCGAGCGCACGACGGCCAGTGGAAACAGCGGACTCGACGTGGCGTCCGCTCCTCCGGCCCCTCCCCGGATCGGGGGCTGAGGAGGGGCAGGCGGGGCAGCGTGTCGGGAGGCGGGCGGGTCTCGCCCCCGTGACGGAAGGGCGGCCCGCCAGGTCCCAGCTGCAGGACCAACGGGGCTGACGGGGCTTCAGGGACGGCTAAGAAAGTGGGTCCGGTCTCTCGGCTGGAGGCTCTGCTCTGCCACAGCCCCGCCCCGCGGTCGGTTTCCTGTCGGGGGTTCCCCGCCACCGCCGGTGGGAGCGTCGTCCTGCCGGGCGCTCCGCAGGGAGCCGGGGCGCTTTCCCGCTCCCGCTAACTCTGGGCGATGGCGATGTCACCTCTGTGGCGGAGGACACTGAGGCCCGGGGAGCGTGAGAAGCTTGCTCAGCTCGTCAGTCAGGCGGGTTTTGCCGGCCGCCGGTCAGACTGGCGGAAGCAGCCGCGGTCCGTGCGAACCTCTGCGCCGTGAGCGCCGGGCACGAGAACGGACGGGACACATGCGTGCTGTGCGCGTGCAAAAGCCAGCCACCTCGTCCGTGTCCCCGCAGCTCGTCTCTAAATTTCATTTCGGATAACGCGCACACAAATGCGCGCGCACACATGCACACACACGTGCACACACACGCACACACGCACGCGCACACACACGTGCGCGCACACGCACGCACACACACGCACGCGTGCACACGCACACGAGTGCTCACACACACGCGCGTGCACACACACACACACGTAAGTTTTCACGAACATGCAAACGAAGCCGCGCAGGCCGTGGGCTCCTCGGTGCAGCCTCCCCTTTCCCGTGTGTGTCCCCCCCGCACTCCCTCGGTCCCGCGTCCTCCCCATCTCCCGGGATCTGGCAGGCGGGCGACCGAGGCTGTGCCCACATTTACCCCCACGCTCAAGTAATCGCGCGCAGATACTGCGGTACCTGTGTGTCCGTGTCTGTTATCTATCTGCCCATCCGTCCGTCCGTCCGTCCGTCCGTCCATCCGCCCACCCTCCCTCTCTGGGCGCGTTTCTCACGTTCGCCCCCCACAGCTCCCCGAATCAAAGGTGCCCAAGGGAAACTGGCAGAAGGAACGACCGACCTGGCGTGCGGGGTGTGAGGCCGCCAGCGAAGCTTCCGCCTCGTCGCCGGCTCCTCCGAGCCCTCACGTGCTTGTCTTCGCCAGCGTGGAGGAACCTCGATCCCGCAGGCGTGCGGGGGATGTTCGTCTCCCTGCCGGACGCTTCAGTCTTCCTCGGTCTCCTTTGCCAGCTGCTCCGGTGCCCAGACGTGGCAGCCACAGTGGACAACGTCACCATCCACATCCTGGCCGGCTGGTTCCAGAGCGAGGACCCCGTCGTGGTGAAGCAGATGCTGCAGGTGGTGGAGACCTTTGCCAAGCACGGGAACATGGTGAGTCTCCGGGGCCCGGGGCGTGGCCCTGAGGGCCTTGTCGCTCGGGGCGGGACAGAGGGATCTGGAGGGGCCGCGTGTCTCTGTGCGGACGGAGCTAAGCCTTGTGAAGCCAGGCCACTGAGGACAGGGGTTGGGGGCTTGAGCCACCAGTGCCCCCTCTCTCCCAGGAGAAGAGGAGGGTCATTCAGAGACCAGGCCCGGCCAGTTCCAGGATCTCGGGCCGTTGGGTCTCCCCAGGGACGAATAGGCCAGGCAGCGGGGGCAGCGAGGGGGCCCTCCTGCGTCTTCTCCTCTCTCCCACGGGGACAGACACCTGCCCGGATGCCCCTGGGCAGCTCCCTCTGGCTGCCACCCATTTACTGGGCCAGGCCGGTCCGGGATGAGCAGGCGGTCGTGTGTGACCAGGGGCGCTCGTCGGCGGGAGGGACTGCCGGCCAGACAGCTCCTGGACTGCTCGCTCCGCAGGCCAGACAGCTGCGCCTCCTCCAGCCCTACGTGCTGAACTGCTGCTACTCTCAAGACAGCGACATCGTCCTGGAGACCTTCCTGATGCTGCAGGGCGTCGTGCAGTACCTCACCTGGCAGCGCTCATCCTCGTTCCTGGTCCAGCTCAGCTTCATGCTCAGGCCCTTCTTCGAGGAGGTGGGCTCCTCTGCGGGCCCCCTGCCCTCCCGCCAGGCGTCTGCGGAGTGACGGAGCCGGGGGGCTTGTCTCCAGAGGCCCTTCTGCCTTGGCTGTGATGCCGTTCCCTGGGGGCTGCTGGCTGACGGACTCTTGAGCAAAGATCGGAAAGGGTTTGGAACAGGACAGCTGTGGTGCTCGAAGCAGAGCCCGTGTGGGGGAAGGGCGCTGGCCCAGGGAGCACGAGGCCAGGGGGGCGGAGCCCTGGTGACGGGGAGGACAGAGGCAGAGGTGTCCCGCGTGTGCCTGTGTGTCTTCGCCCAGGAATCAGAGCGCCTGCGTCTCGCAGCCTTCAAGATCTATGAGGGCATCTTAGCCAAGGTCAAGAGGGGGTTCCTCGCCTTCCCCTTGAAGCACCACGTCCTCAACCTGATCGTCCTTCTCGTGCTCCACCTGGAGGACAGGGACGCCGACGTGGCTCAGGTGAGAGGCCGAGCTCGGAGCAGGTCCGCAGGCCCCACGCTCAGCAGGCGGGGCGATGCTGTGGGCGTCGCCTGTCCCTGACCTTGGACAGGTGCAGTAAGAGGCTAGAAGCGGCCGACGGCGCTCACGCCGGGTTTCCCCGGCTCCCGGCTCTCCCCGCTGCCACCGACCCGCACACAGCGCGATGCTGTGGTCACGGCGCTCCCGGGAAGAAGTCCCACCGCCTGGCGCCAGTCAGCGGCCTCCTCCCCGAACGGCTCCCAGCTCGCTCCTTGGCCACCGGAGAGAGACGGGCTCCCAGGGCAGGTGGGGGCCGGAGCGTTCTGGAACGGATGGGCCCAGTGCTGAGCCCGGGGGCCCAGCGAGTGTCCTGCAGCTGGGAAAAGCAGCCCTTGAAAGGTGGCTGTTTGTGAAAAGACACAGCTTTCCCCAGATCGGGGCACTTTGCCGTGGTGAGGCCTCCAACAGGCCCATGCGAGGGACATGCTGAGCAAGTGGCCGATGGGATATTGTCTTTGTGGGGCGGGGTCTGAGGGTCCCTCCTGGCGACCTCAGCGGTGACATTCTGAACAGAGCCAACCCCAATTTGGAGGAGCGACCACCCCAGTTGGGGAGCTGTAACTGCGGAGAGGCCGTTTGCGGGGAGCGGGAGGTGACCAAGGGACGGTGTCACTACTCGGTCTCAGCACGGGGACAACTGAGACAGCTGTGGCTGTGGTTTGTGAACTTCTCGTCAGTGGGGAGCGGGCGTGGGCATCGCCGACCTGCCTGGAAGCGCCCGCCCTCCGACGCCTCCCGGCCCCGCTCCTGCAGCCCCTCACGCTGAGCCGCTCTGTCCCCCAGGTCTGCCGGCTGAGCCTCTGCCACATGGCCACCGCCCTGGGCTGGTCAAGGCTCAAGGTCACGTTTGCCAAGAAGGACATGTGGATGATCCTCACGGCCCTGGTGAGACGCAGCCCCTCACCTGGGCCGGGCTGGTGCCTGCCGCCTGCCGCCCGGCTCGTCTTCCTGTGGCCCCCGGGCTGGCCTCACCCACAGCGTCTTCCCACAGCTGGAGCAGGAGGCCGGCAAGGCCCTCTGGTTTCTGAGGCAGTGCATGACCCTCTTCAAGAGCCCTCAGGCCCCTATCCGCCACGCGGCCGTGTGGTTTGCAGGTACTGCATCCCCATCCTCGGAGCCACTCTGTCTTTGTCCCAGGGACCTTGTCCAGCCAGGGGACCGGGACATGAGGGCCAGGAGGGTGGGAGAGGACTATCTCCAGCTGCTGCTCCCTCCCCTGCAGGAAGCTCCTGGCCGGGCGGGCAGCCCTACCTCAGCAGAACAGGCTGCAAAGCTCGCGGGGTGACGGGTGTGGGCACTGCTCCGCGGGGTGACGGGTGTGGGCACTGCTCCGCGGGGAAGCTCGGAGCCCGGTGGGACCGCTTCATGTCGCCCCAAGGAGCAGAGCAGGGGCCGCCCCACCCCAGCCCGGTTCACTCAGGACTGGAGGGAAAAGTCCAGCCCTGTGGCTGGTGGCCACGCCAGTGTGCGGACAGGAGACAGACGGGGGGACGTGGGGACTTGGGGAGAGGCATGGAGACCCAGTGTAGCTAGTGTCCCCTGGCCCTCTGTGGGGCCACTGAAGCTCCATGTGCCCCGCAGGCCAGATCATCCAAACCCTGGACATGGACAAGGACGGTGAGACGGAGGAGGCATATTCAGGTGGGCGGAGGCCGCTCGCCTCGGCCACGAGCTGGTGCTGGCGGCCGGTTCGGAAATGAGGGACGGGGACAGGCAGGCTCATGGGCACAACCCCCGGAAGGAGAGACGAGAGAATTCATCTCTGAGGCGCTTAGCGGGGGCTCCGGCCAGAGCTGTCCTGCCCCGTCACTCACTGACGCCACTACCACCAAGCTCCCGACCCGCCCTCAGCCAGGACAGTCCCTGAGCTCTTACGGGAGGGAGACCACCTTGTCTCATGTGAGGGGACAGTGTTCTCAGCCCTCCTGGAGCCCCCGGCAGAACTCGGGTCATGGTCCCTGTGTCCCCACTCGCCCTCTCCTGTCTGGCCTCGCTCGAGCGCCACGGCCCCGCCCCCACGGGCCCCCACGTGCTGGCCGCAGCTCTGAGTCAGGACTGTGCTCATAGCTGTTCTCCGGGAAGCAGGTGGGCAGAGCCAGGGAGGGGACGATGGTGGGGACCAGAGGGGTTGGTCGTGGGTGCAGGACGAGGAGCAGCCGCCCCTTGCCTCCCTGAGCCCTGAGGGGTACGCCATCTTGCTCGTGACTGAGCAAGGTGGCCCCGGGGAGGAGCTGTCCACCCACGGCCTGTTCCTGCCCCGCCGGCGTGCTGGCGAGCCCCGTGCAGCCCAGCCACGCCACCGCGCGCAGCACGGCCGCCTCTGCGTTGCAGCCCTGCAGTCCCTGAGGGAAGACCCCGACCCCATGGTCAGCTGCCTCGCCACGCAGGTCTGCTACGTCCTGGAGGCCAAGGAGACGCCGTCGGCCCCGCCCCCGACCTCCTGCTTCTGCACCGGGAGACCCTGAGAGGCTCCCGAGGCTGTTCGCGCTGCTGTGCTTGCCACATTTTCTGCAATAAGCGGATGTTACTCTTATAATCCGAGGGAAAGACACATTCTGCATTAAAGGAATGAAAACGAGGTCCCTCAGTCCAGCGCTCCTGCCTCCCCGCCCCTGAGCTCCGTGGCACCTTCGAGACACAGGGCGACCGGGTTTGGAAAGACCGGCTCTGTGACAAATGCTCTGGGGGTGTGAGCAGAGGGTGAGGGGACCACAGTCTGCAGTCGGTCCCCGGGCTTGTCTCCTGGTCTCACCCACACGCCCATTGTCACTTCCTGCCATCAGCACTGGGCTCTGTCCCGCTGGGCAGGGCCCTCGGCCGTCCTCAGAAGCCAGCCCGCTTCCCGGAGCAGGGAGGCACCTGTGCCTGTGGCAGCGAGGCAGCCTGCCCACTGCGTCTCCTCAGCGGGCTGAGGAGCCTCGCACTGGCCAAGGCCCTACTGAGGACAGGGAGCCTCCCCGTCCACCCACGGCGACTTCTCCAGACGCACGGACTCACTGGCCAGACCCTGTCCCAGCTGGGGGCCCAGATAAAGAACAGGGACGTGTAGGCTTTGTACTTGGAAAACAAAGCAAAGAGAGACCCAGAGTCATCTTCACGACAGACAGATGGCTGGTGATGACGATGAGCTGTTCCCAGGGGCCTCTCTGCCAAGGGGGGTGGCCAGAATCCCCGGGTCCAGGGCAGGCCGGGATGGGCAGTTACCCGAAGAGCATAGGACTCTAGAGATTGAGTGACGTCTCACGACTCAGCCCTCCCGAACTGCCTGTCACTCTCCACGCACTAAATATGTGTTCAGCGCCCATCCCCACAGGTAGCTGAGGGAACAGAAATAGACCAAACAAACTCATCGCCCCCAAAAAGGGGCTTATATCTCAACAAAAGTGCTAGAAAAGTGTTTTCTCAAGTCTGACAAACTCGATGGCTGGTCACAGAGCATCAGCAGCGCAGTGAGCCCTAAACGTGACGTTATCTGAGTGTCACTGCTTCCTGAAAACGTGGTGGCAGAAATCACGGGTTACGAGCGTGAGAACTGCTCCCTTTTGGAGCCACGACTCATGTCTTCGGGGTCACAGGTTGTCTGGTGTCTCTTACACCAAAAGATACTTTTATGTTAAAAACAGTGGCACGAATAGGCAGAGCGCAGAGGGTTTTTGGGGAGGAATACGCGTTTTTAAAGACTGAGGGACAATGGCCTGGACACGGAAATCGCGGCCAGGCTGCCGCTGTGGTTCCGCGCGAGCTTTTGCTATTTCCGGCTCCCGTCCTACGTGGTCAGGGGAGGACACGCGTCTGGGGTGGGCGTGCTCGGACCGGCCACCAGGGAAGGGGACGGGGTGGCGGTCGGCCGGGCCTCTATCCTGATGAGCCGGGGTCCTGGACGTCACCTCCCTTCCAGCTTTTCCCAGTTCAGAGAGCGCGGACGTCACCGCTCACGGGGCAGAGAAGACGCCGTGACCGGTGTCAGACGGTGCCCGGCGGCCAGCGGCCCTCCTCCGCCTGCGGTGGCCGTCCCAGGAGGTGGCCCGTGGGCCTGCGGGGCCCCGCACAGCCAATGCCGCGGCCGCACCATGTGGGCCCCGTCCCCGAGGCCGGCCCCCCGTCCCCAGAAGGGCCCCAGCCTCCAGGGCCACAGCACCAGTGTCGTTCAGGTTTTATTTAGCACAACTTTTCGGAACACACGTCCGGTCCGGGGGGGACGTGCAGTGTGGGGCTTAAATAACTTCCAGACGCTATGTACAGTCAGGGGCAGAGGGACGGGCCGGACGCTCACCTGCGCTGGCCCCACAGCGGGGACAGCGCGAGCCCACGGAACACTGCGGCCACGCAGAGGCGAGCACTGGGCCTAGTGGCCGACCGGCCCGATTCACTGCAGGGGTCCCCTCTGACCCCCGGCTCTTCGAGCAGTGCTTCCCACCTCCATGCAAGGCCCCGGTTCCCGGTCCCCGAGCCTGGGCCAGGAGGCATCGCCACGCGGGAGCGGCGAGCAGCTTCGAGCAGCTTCCCGCGGGGGACGGCAGAGAGCAGACGCCCGGGGCTGGGGCCGCCCAGCGGGAAGGGGCTCAGCGCTCCGCAGGGACTGAGCAAGTGGGGTGTGCCTGCACCCAGCCCAGCCCGCATCGGGAGCCCAGGGACGGGCCCTGACGGACAGCCGGGCGCCTGCCCCCCAGCCGCCACCTGCGTCCCCACCGCTGGCCGGCTTGGGAGTCCCAGCCACGCCTTCCGCGCAGCGGTTTGTGCTTTCGACGCCGTCCGCCAAAGCCACGGGGGCCTGGGGCCCGGCGGGCGGCAGGGCTGGATGGGGGGCTGGGCTGCAGCTGCAGTGGGGGCGGTGGGCGGGGAGGCCATGCCCAGACCCACAGGTGTCCCTGCCCAGGGGCCGAAGGTGGCACCCTGACCACCGCCACGGCCCGGCGCCAGCCTCCGCCTCCTGGCCCGTCCTCTCTCCGGACGATCTCCGAAGGCGGCGGGAGTTCTGGCTGCCGAGAGGACCCGTCGCTTGAGTGGAAGGAAACGAGGAACCAGTTAGCACCGAGATGGCTGCGGCCGGACCACCGAGGCGGCCCCGGGCAGTGGGGCGGGGACACCACCTACCCACCAAGCGGCCTTCAGAGCCCTTGTTAGGGACCTGGCCTGGGCCTAGCCGTTGCCAGATTTGGGGAGTGGTGTCGAGGGGGCACTGCTCGCGGCCCCGGCATCCTGTGGCCTGGCCTGCAGTGCTTCGCGGTGTTTGGGGGGCACAGAAAAGGAAGTACGACGATGCGCCCCAGAACTAGGGTGAGCTGCGGGCAGGCCCTGACGGGGCATCCCCAGCCTGAGCCCCGGAGGAGGCCCTGGGCTCAGGCCACCGGACACCAGCCCCGCGCTGTGCTCAAATCACCATCTTGTGCTTCCGCCGTCCGGGTGTGTGTGCGGGGCGCCAGGGGCCTGCCCCCAGCCGTGCACCCCGGAGTCCCCGAGGGAGTGGCAGAGACACCAGCACCGGGGCTCCCGGGGGACTTCAAGTGTAGAGTCAGTGATTCTTGCCAGGACATCAGAGCCAGCTGGCCGTGAGGTAGCTGACCCGTCAACAGCAGGAGACAGGCCTGACGCCGAGCACCTCTCGCGGGCTGCGGTTACCCCCCGAGCGAGGACAGGCTGGCAGCTACAGTCCCGGGGCCCCCGGGAGCGCAGTCTGTTTCTGCAGGGTGTGAACGCCATGCAGACAGTTTCCTCACAGGTGATGCTTTCCGTCCCGGCTGGCAGAGGGACGGGCAGGGAGGGGACTCGGGGGAGCTGCCTGGCGCCCGGACCGGCCGGAGGAGAAGGGGTGTCCAGTCTGGAAGGCAGACTGCCCCGCACATCCGCTCACCCCGACCTTGCCGCTGGGCCAGCGGGGCCTCGCCCAGCACGAGCGCCTTCTCAGCCTGGGGCAGCTCGGAGCAGGGTGGGGACAGGTGGGGACAGGTGGGGACAGGCTGGGCTCAGGCTCCAGCAGGTGCTTTTCCCTTTCACAGCTAAGATGGCCTCCTCCGCCCTGTGCTCCAGACACGTCCCACACTGGGCCAAACAGGGGACACCCCAAGACGGAAACGGAGCCACCTTCAGGTCTCAAGTGCTCGTGTCCTCTGAACAGAGCTGGGCTCCCGGCCGCACGCCGAGACCGGGAAGCACCGAACCACGTAAACTCCGGCAGGACACTGGCCGAGTGCGGACAGGGCTCAGGACAGGGCCCTCCCGCGGCCGGGCCCACGGCGGCTCAGGCCACGCATTTAACAGCCCGCAGGGGCCGAGGCTGCAGCCCGAGGACGGAGGGTCTCAGCAGTCCGCTCGCCGGCATCGGAGGCTCGGACAGTCTCCTGGGTGACCGGGAAGGGTGACCGCAGGGCCGGTCCTCGCCGTCCGCCTGTGTCCCGGCAGGCGCGGTCCTCCAGGCTGCTCCCCACGCGGAGCCCCGGGCGGCAGGGGTAAGACCCTCATGAGCAGACCCCGGGGGGCCAGCTCCCCACGCGGAGCCCCGGGCGGCAGAGGTAAGACCCTCATGAGCAGACCCCGTGGTGCCACCCGGGCGGGGCGCCAGGCCAGGCCGCCGGACGGCGGAGGAAGGCACTGAAGCGTCCGGCGACCGATGTCGGGGTGTACCAGGGTGGCCCTTGGGGGCAGGAGGCCAGGCCGCCGGATGGCGGAGGAAGGCACTGAAGCGTCTGGCGGCCGATGTCGGGGTGTACCAGGGTGGCCCCTGGGGACAGGTGGCGCGGCCCAGCCGCAGGGCCAGGCTGAGTGGGGGTCGGGCCCGAGGGCCTGTGGGGCAGGTCCCTGTGGGACTCCTGGTCCCCAAGAGCTGAGGGACAGAGTACGGGGAAGAAACTTCAAGTCAACGTCCAGGAGGCAACAGCAAAAAATAAAAATAAATTAAGTAACTGAAGTGCGTCTGGCCACCCCCAGGGAGTCTTTCTAGCAGCCTCATCGGAAGGGACCCCAAGAATCACTGGGGTCACCTGGGAACAGCTGCTGGTGGCCAAGGGCGAGAGGTCAGCTGCAGGCCTGGCTGCCTACACCTGGTTTCCACGGTTACCTGAGGACTACCTTTTGGGGCTCAGAGGCAGGTGCAGTGGTCCAGAAGCTGGGCTGGGGGACGTGGGGACTGGACGGTCTCGCCCCCCTGCAGGGCCCACGCCAGGGTCAAGGGCCCGAGGAGGGGCACGGCCAGGGGCAGCAGGAGAAACAAGGGGGGCGACCCTGCTGTCACAGCTTGAGAATTCCTCGCCTCCTGCTCTGCGTCCTGCGGAGGCACGGAGAGCCTGGGGGACAGCCAGAGGCCTGGCCCGTCAGCCGTCAGAGAGGGGAGGGGAAGCAGGGGAGGGCCACACCCATCGGCCACACCCTCTGTCCCCAGGGCGGCTGGCCCTGTCCGTGCTGTCCGAGCTGCTGGGGCCGCAGGTCTGGGACCACCCTCTGACCTCGCTCAGGGCGGGCCGCGAGGTAACCGCCGGGCGCGCCAGAGCTTCACCGTCAGGTCGCTGGGGAGGACAGAGAGTGGCGGTCAGCTCTTGAAGTGGGCCCGCTGGCCACCCCCAGACTCCCCGAATTCCCCAACGTGGCCGGAGCCCAGGGGCGAGCCCTGCTCGGCACAGGGTGGGCTGCGGGGCGGAGGGTGCTGGGCAGAGGGGGCCGAGTCTCCAGGGCCGACGGGCTTCTCGCCGCGGTTTGCTGTCTTGCCCAGGCCTGAAGGCGCCCCCTCTGCCCGGCCCTCCACCCGGGCTGCGCCCCGCTGCCCATGCTCGGACGGGGCAAGAAGGGGGAGCAGGGAGGAGCCAACATCGTACCGTGAAGCAGCAGCTCAGATCGCAGAGGAGAGAGGGGGAAAGGACAGGGGGACAGAAGGGTCAGGGCGGGGTCGGGGCG